GTCACCAAAGTACACCAACATTCGATTACATGATCCGACAGCAAATGACGATAAGATAACCTTGGAGTTTCAGCAGAAACTTGTCAAAAGGCGGTCAATTCACCACTATCTATAACTTTTCCCGTTGTTCTAACAACGTTAAAACGGCTTATCGACTTCTTGAGAAGATTTCCAAGAAAAAAGTAAACCTACAGACATCGGTCTTATTCAACAAAATCTGCCTACGTGGCTTTAAAAACATATCGTAAACATGGTTAAAACTTTGTAAGTTGTTGTACACAAGATATGTAACACTGTATGAAATTACAAAAAGGAAAACTTCGCTTTACATATTTAAATCATAAATTATTCATTTAGAGAGTTTTGTCGATCTACGGCGCCAAGATAAATATTTGATCATTCAGGTGAAAAAAGTTAGTAATTTTGGGTTCAAACTACCAAAACTACTTGCTTGTATAAATCGAAATAAACACAAGCTAAATTTTTAAATATGTCTGTCATTTTTTTAAATGATTTACAAGAAGAGGAAAATTATTCAATGTTATCTGAACGACCTGAATTACTAAGACACGATTTTTGTCGTTAAAATAAAACTTTTCCTTCACAGAGCTAATCTATATAAATAATAGTCCAATATTTGTCTGCCTGTCACACCCTGTATTTTCTGAATGGTCAATCATAGAACATAAAATTATATACCAAAATGGTAATTTTCAAGAGTACATTACAGGAAAAAGTTATTCATTTTTTAACACTAACTAAAGTTTCATAGCGATACCAAAATCGATCCGCCAGTCTTCGTATATGCTGAACGGTCAATGTGAGAAAAACACTTATTAAGAGCAAAAATATTTCTTCTGTGAGGGAATTTCACGAATGAACAAAACAAAAACGGGACTTCCTTCTTCGACTAATTGAAAGAAATATTTCGAAGATATGTGCATGAACGAAAGAAAAAACGCACAAGAGAGAGAAAGAGAGAGGAACATGTTTGAGTATACATTTTTTATGTCGGTATTATATACATGCGTAACATTATTTTACCATGTCGAATAAATTAATTTCAATTGAATTGAATATATCCCTCTGACTTTTCGTATAGAAATAACAAATGTCAAAGAAGCTTTCACTTCGGTAACGGTTCTTTTCTTGCGCTCAGTAAATGACAAGGAGTCGGAGCATCCAGCGGAAAACAATCCCCATGGCTATTTAGAGAACCTGGGCGCTCTATTGTGCTTTCAAACTTAACATTTTTTATGCCAACAGTGCATTGTATTCAGTCTCCTTTGCTTAAAAACAAACGCGATACAACTTTTCTTATTGAAATAATACATGGAATAACAAAATACGGTTGTAAACGGCCCAATAGACAATCATATTATATAAACATTTCGATCTAAGGGATTCGATTGACTGCACTTTTTATATTTATTCATTACCATTTTTATGAAAATTACCTTTGAATTGTTTCAACGGGAACCTGGTAGTAAAAGTATAATGATAGATATAATAAGTAATAAAACTCGGTCGTATAAGTGTTTTAGTTCATACATATTTACAGTAAAGTTTAAATCTAGAGAACAGTCATTCTTTAAAGCTCTGTAGTTTTCAGTTTTATATCTTTTCACGAATTGTGTGTGTGTGCATGATACACGAATGCAATACACTGGTGTTTTCATAAAGTGAACTTTAAAACACCCATTTAGTTTTTCAAATAAATTCATTTAAATAGGTGGCGTTATGTCATAGAAATAGAGCTGGCATAATTCAAAATAAGGAGTAAAATATTATTCAATACTTTGTAAGAAAAATAACAATAAAGAAATCAATATTCTCCTTGTCACTTTTTGCTCATTATAAAATAAAGTTTAAATAGCATTTAATAAGGAAGAAAGATTCATATAAATGTGCCCCCCCCCCCTTGTTGGGTTAGTGATAAGTTTACGCTAAAATCTGGGGTTCGATTTCCTGGGTGGACACGGTAGATAGTCCAATATGGCTTTGCTCTAAAAACAATCTAACCTATATATACCTGAGTGCGCTTTGAGGTTCTATTGATGAAAGAGTTTTCCTTTGTACTTGTTTACTATGATTTAAGAAACCACACTGCATTTGAGAGATTATTTAACTTTAACCCAAACGTTCTTTTTCAACAACCCTCAACGTTATTTTTATTGTGTAGTGCAATGCCATTCCTTTTACCCGTCAGTGGTTTAAAGTTGTGATTTTCAGTATCTTGCATAATTCTAACAAATAACCGACAAAGTAAAATCATTTTAAATTAAAGTAGAATGTCGTAAATTAAGAAGCAAAACCTTTAAATTGAGCTCATTAGGAATTCACAACAGACTCCCTGCAAACAAACTTAAAGCTGATTTAAACACTACAATAAACTAACAACTGGTTAATCCTGACAACCTGTGGACAGTGTATGTTCCTATGTTCCTATGTTGCTCCGCACATTCTAATTTGTTTCAATCTCTATATTGGTTA